CTAATTTAGTTTTGAGCCTAATTTAGTTGTAGCTATAGTGCGTTTGGCGGCGCCAATTCGGCCCAACTAAACGTGGCCTTTACTGATTTAATCCGTAATATGCTTTTATTAATTTTTTGTTTCATAACAGTCTAGGCCTGGCTTTCTACTACCAGCTCAATTTACCTTATAATTGTGTGCTCTTTAAATGTTCTGCTAGATTTTCCTATCAAGGTGTATCATGTATATTATTGCAGGATAAAGCGTCTTTAGGGCTTATGGGCCTGTTCGCTTGTCTGAATTCTGGAGGAATCTGGATGGTTTGGAGGAATGCTGAAGGAATTTGTGAGAGAAAAACACTGTTCCGGATGAAAAAATAAGCGAATCAAGTCGGGTTTAAGAGCACGCGAACGGGGCCTATGTCTATCCTTAAGTTATTTTTTCTTTTTCATTCATGATTTGCAGATACAGTTTTACCACTCATATACACGGACATTATTCCGTGAAGCTCTCAGCATAAATGAATAACTGCTATGCCTATCCAAATAAAATGTTTTTTGAGGCCTCTATCCAACAAATAAAATGTTTTTATCCTTTTGTATATTATTTCTACTACAATAGAATAGTAAAAAAATCGCAAAAAGAATAGTAAAAACGGTTGCTCAAGATCATAGCACGCAGGAAAGAGGTACGATCATAGTGGTCAAATTCAAGTCTCCTAGACATGGTCATCATGTGCACAAAAAGCACATGCCCCCAGCTTCATATGCATTACTTTTGCTAGAAAGTGAACTCAAATTGCTACTATGGAAGCTCAGATATAGATCCACGTTTGGATCAACGTCATATATTGAATGCACCTAAACAAAAACCAGATCTAGAATTCTGGATGTTTAGTTCACTTACTTATGATCAAGACATTTCCATGTTTTGCTAATACACGTTCAATCAACCTAACATACTCCCAAATTATATGCATTATTATTAATACTTACTTCATTGATCCACATTCTTACATTTCCAATGTAATATATATGAAAGTCCCGCGGCAATGTGCGGGGAATTCTTCTAGTTCTTGAGTATATGTATGGCGTACTATTAAGAGGTATGCAACACTAAGCGCTAGATGTGACCTAAAAGTGCTTAAAATCAACCCAAGTGAGAAATCTGAGTGGTTAGCATAGTTAAGAGAATTGTTTGTGAGCAGGCTGAGAAAACTGGCTAGGCCGATTTTTCTTCTCTAAGTGTCCAACAACTAGTCGGTTTGAAAAATCGATTAGGCCAATTTTGGCAAATTAGGTACCACCAACTAGTTTTTGTGGGAGGTCTATTTATACCCTCCCACGGCCTTTGGCAGGTTGTAGAAACTTTCCCACATCCATATACACCAGCAAAGCCTAGAGAGAGAGAGAGAGAGAGAGAGAGAGAGAGAGAGAGAGAGAGAGAGAGAGAGCTCCCAGTTCACTCTTTGTGGGACTTGAGTGAATTTAGCCATATTCATTGAATTAGAGAGTAAGATTTGAGCCTTGAGATTTTGTGTGAGCAATAGAGAGCTGAAAAAACTTGAACACTTCGTGGCAACATCAAGTTTTGGTGTGAAGCATTTGTTACTCTTGGAGCTTTGCTCATAGACGGCTAGACGTCGCTGGCGACCAACCAAAGTTGTGGTGTGCTGCCAAACCATTTGTGAGGGCTATGATCTTGCCTCTAAAAAAAGGAAAAAGATCACTTAATGGAAGTGTGGAAACCAGTCGCTTGAGACTCAGCTAGAGTAACCTTGGTGGGTCACTCACAGCTTCCGCAACGGACATGTACGACTCATTTGGAGGCATGAACTTCGGTCAAACAAACCACTGCGTCTTGGTGTTTGGCTTGCCTCACTTGCATATTTACATTGCATATATTTCACATATATATTGAGCTTCCGCTTGTGGATACTCAATTGTGCTTGTTTGTGAGTGTAGATATACTTTGAATAAGTTTTAAAACACTCAAAAACACCACCAAGCAACTTTGATTGAAGAGGGGAAGGATATAAAGCAAAAGGGCGGCTAACTCATTTTTTACATGTTACCTGTGTCTGTAGAGGCTCTTGATGAATTTGAAGCACTTCAGGAGCAGTTACAGGGACTTATGATCCAAATGATGCTGACCGCTGGATTCCGACATGGGTTAATAGATATACTTCACGCCGCTATTATTCTCATGTTTTCAGTACCATGGAGGCTCGCCTAGTGTTCAAGATGATCTAGAGATCAAGATGCACCCCGCGTGTCAAATTCTTTGCTTGGCTCATACTAGTGGACCGGCTAAATACCAAGGCAATGTTACAACGACGACATCTCAATATACAAGACAGTCCAATTTGTGTTATGTGCAACACGGTAGAGCTTGAGACCATAGAGCATCTATTCTTTGAATGTTCCTTCGCACAACACTATTGGGGAATGATCGGTGTTGTTTGGGAGGACTCTTTGGAGCTGATGGATAGGTTGACACATGCGAGAACATCACACAACATCCCCTTCTTCACAGAGGCAGCACTCATAGCGGCATGGGAACTTTGGAAGATGCGTAATGACAAAGTTTTCCAGAGACATGATCCGAGTGCAGCTACTTGGCTTTCAAGCTTTAAAAGTCAATGTCTTTTGCAGTCTATTAGATTTAAAGATGACTTGCGATCATCTTTCTGTGTATGACTTGATGCATTTAATTAATCCCTGTATGTATGAACCTCCTCGCTTTTTATTTTAATGAAAATTTGTAACCACTGTGGGGACCTCCCCAACAGTTTTTGCTGTAAGAAAAACTCATTTTCTACAGGTTTCTTGAGAAAATATGCCGATTCCAGGAATCAGCTAAGCCACTTCTGCAGAGTGCCGAGAGATAAAGCAAAAACCCGGCTAGACTGATTTGGCAAACCAGTTAGGTAATTTTTGCTGCAGATTTTGTTTTAACCTGTGTTTTTCGCAGGAAAAATCATTAAAGCCTGTTAACAAACTAGATGAAGTTGATGAAAACTCATTAAAGCCTCTAGGAAACATTCAGGTCCTTTCAAGGGAGGTAGCGGGTCAACAAACTAGATGAAGCTGATGAAGGGAGATCGATTTGACAGAGAGAAAGAACATTTGGGGGAGGCGACCTCTTCTCCTTTTCTTAGCAAGACAGGGTGGTCTTTGTAAAATTCCATCCCTCCACCAGAGGCAACAATCCTGCCAAAAACCATCTAGTATCCACGCTAGCATTGCCACATAGGGTGGAAGGCGTCGCCGAGGTGTCATGGTTCTACAATGCACGACTTATCAACTTTAGGGAGCCATATTTTGTTTTTTTAAGAGTATGTGTACCTAGGTGGCACAGGGCCACAAGTTTAAAGGCCGTTAGTGTATGTAACTCTTTCTTAAAATGAGGAATAAAGTTTACTTACTAGCTAGTTTACTGCATATATATCTACAATACCATTTCCAAAATTCTAGGGTGATCATGGCCCGCACGAACCATCTCTTAGATATTCCACTGCCTATATACCACGCCAACTAAAACTACTAGGTAAGCCTACTCATGGCATGTCTTATAATGCAAGATAGTTTCAACCGCCAAACTTTTAAAAGAAATCGTAACAAGCTACCATCACCAAACAAAAAAAATTGCAAAAGGAAAAAATAACAGATTTTGATATACTCTCTCCATCCTAAAATAAGTGTGCATCTCATTTATCAAGGAGTCAAAGTTTTTTAAAGTTTGACTAAATATAATATACCGAAGTACTAATAATCATGATGTATAATAAGCATTATTATATAGATCATGAATTGTACTTTTATAATAAATTTATTTGGAGATGCAAATATTAATATAATTTTTATATATAACTAGTTAATTTAAAAAATGACTTATTGAGAAACGTGATGTACTTTTATTTTGAACGAAAGAAGTATGCTAAAACAAATGGGAAAAAAAATCAAACTAAGAAATGCTAACGCCCTCGTGCGTGACTGGGCGTGGACGTGGTGCACGCTGGACTAGTGCGTGCCCCTGCCTCGGGACTCGCACTTGTCGTTTTCGGCGACCCCTCATTTTCCCAATCTCACTCCCCTGCCTGAAAAATCAGATCTCGCGCGCCGCGCAGGCCATTCCAGTTTCCATCTCCCGCCTCCCCCCTCAAGATGGCAACGTGTACATACCCGATGGGTACTGGCCATTCATACCCGCATCTGTCAGATCAAAATCTTATTCGTCGGGTTATTCGTACCCGTAGGCGGGTAGGAAATTCATTCCATACCCTCACCCGACGGGTAATTCTTACCCGACAATATACTCGAGTTCACACACCAAAATATAATAGCTTTCCGCAAAACAAATCAACAATAGAGCAACAAAACAAAAATATGGCTGGTGGAATGGAGTGAGGATGAGGATTAGCGTTTGAGAGAGTTCTAGAATATATATACTCATATGCTTATATGGGTTAAATATGAGCTATATGCTTATATGGGCTAAAATTGCAGAGGTTGGATATTATTTATGCGGATTTTTTTTACCCGCGGGTATGCGGGTATGGATAGTATACACCCACACCCATACCCGCATACCCGATGGGTACAAGAATTCGTCCAATAACATACTCACGGATGTAAAATGTCTTTCATACCCGCCTCTTTATCGGGTAAAACTCGTCGGGTCCTCGGGTTTCGAGTACCCGTTGCCATCTTGACTCCCCCCACGCTCCCCCCACCAATCCACCATGGCGCCCTCGTCGCCTCGACGCAAGAAGCCGTCGTCCGCGGCGAAGCGGGCGTCGACGGGCCCGACGGCGCTGCCCGGGCGCAACAAGAGGAAGACCCCGCCGCCGCTTCCCGAGGCCTCGGGTGCCACGCAGCCGCCGGCCAAGCGGAAGCCGGCGTTGTTCCAGCGCACGTGGTCCCCCGGCGACGAGGTCCGGATCCTGGAGGCCCTCGCCACGTACCGCCGCGAACACGGCGGCAGCCTGCCAACGCCGGCTGAGCTCTTCGGCGCGCTCGATGGCAGCCTCGAGAAGAAAGGCGTCGGAGCAAAGGAGCTCGCCATCAAGCAGCGCAGCTTCAAGCGCCGCTACGACCGCGACGCCAAGAAGATTGCTCCGCCCGCCGATGAACACGAACGCCGCCTCTACCTCCTCTCCAGGCACGTCTGGGGACGCGATCCCCCGCCCAGACCACCGGTTGCTGAGGTCCCAAGGGCTACCCAAGGGGAAGGGCGCCGGCGCCCAAGCAAACAAGGACGCTGCCCAAGCGAAGAGCGCCGACCACCAGTCCGGCAAGGAGGCGGTGAAGCCCAAGGCCAAGACTTTGGATGAGATGCGCGAGCTGTATCCTTACCTGGTTGATGAGGCCACGGTCCTTGTCGAACCGGCGGTGCTGGAAAGTGTGCTCCTCGGCATTGAAAACAGCGACGCTCAGGCGTTGGACAAGAAGATCAGGAAGGCGAGGAAGCAGCTCGCCAAGGCCATCACGGAATCGGTGAATGCGACCTTCTTGTCCTCAGTTAATTAATTATTTATAAAGCTTAATCACGTTATGCAAGCTAGATTTCTGGTCTTTGTTTAATGATTGTGCTTAGAAAAAGGGAAAGCGTTTCTCGGATCCCAGGTGGGGTACGGGAATAGGTTATCTCAAGGTATTGACTAGACCTGCAACATATGTTTCACTAGTGCCAAATTAGTGTGAAATAAAAATGTGGTAGGTAATATGTGTAAGTTTCAGCCTGCCGTTCCAGAATACAGAATCAGAGTTCCCATTGGGGAAAGAAACTAAAAGGACAGTGCACGTGGGTCATTTATGAACTAATGAAATTTGTTGTTTGGAAGGCACTATCTCTGTCACCTCCACAAGATGATAAATATGCCAAAAATTCCTTGAACACACTTAGATTTTTTCATCCTGTCCATATTGTATCTTTTTCCCTGCATGCTAGCTGTTTTCATGTGCTACGATGTCAGAAGTTTGTATGCTGGTATATGTTTCTTTACATTTGTGTTATGCTTGAAAATTATGCCTCTCGAACTCAAAAAGTTGTGTCTCAGGGGTGCATGCATGATGCATCAAAATTTCTAACTGTTGGTGCTAATGCACTTTTTACTACCATTAGTGAAACCCTAAATCACCAAAATAACATTAGGCTATATCAATGGCCGAGGGGCTTGGTCCTGCATGTCATTCACAAGCTCTGTGGTGTTTTGCAAAGTGCAATTTTGCTTGTGGCATGATAACAGTTGTATGACACATGAAAATATACATATATCTGTACAGGATGGTTTCAGAATATACTGAAATAGGAATCACTGCTTAAAGTTTCCTTCTTGGGTAGTGTTGATGTCATTTGGGTGTCTATTTCTCTTCTTAATGAAAAACCACCTAGTTCCTCCTAGGCTGGATCTCATTTTTTAGGAAGTGAGCCTAGCTCAACTGGTTGGGTGAGAGGTGTGGCAATGCACCCAACAACCCAGGTTCAAATCTCGTCTTGGACTGAATTTGGGTGCCTATTTCTCTTCTTAATGAAAAACCACTTAGTTCCTCCAAGGTTGGATCTCATTTTTTTAAAAATCTTAAGTGGCACAGTGGTAGTGCATCATTTTCTCATTCGTGAGGTTCTGGGTTCGATCCTCTCCTGCTTCAATTTTTTAGGAAGTGAGCCTAGCTCAACTGGTTGGGTGAGAGGTGTGGCAATGCACCCAACCACCCAGGTTCAAGTCCCGTCTTGGACTGAATTTGGGTGCCTATTTCTCTTCTTAATGAAAAACCACCTAGTTCCTCCTAGGTTGGATCTCATTTTTTTTTTCCAAATCAACCTTTTTTTGAACAGGAGGTCCTACCTATTTCGTTTCATACTTGCTACTGTGTGCTTGCAGCATACCAAAATATATGGTTCACTTGCTTCCTTTTGTGCTCCAATAGTTAGGTTTCATAGGAGTTTGTCCCTAATTCCGTTTTCTTATATTGCATAAATTTACCACTCAGGTACCATTCTTCTCTGAGCAGGATAAAATCTGAAGCACTGACTTCTCAGGATATGTTTGTTTTTGTCCCAAATGGTTTTGAATTAATCAGACTACTATATGCATGTCAGTGCCAGTATGTAATATGCTCGTTAACCAATTGTATCCTATGGATATGAAATAATAAAATCACTAGTTCCTTACAACCAAATACAGAATTAGTTTATTATATTTATTGAGTTTAGTACATGCTTTGTTTGATTAATTTATTTACAGTAAGCAAGGCACATAGTAAACTATTAGTCTTCCATAATCTTGTTCGATATATTACCATCTATCTCTTTAAGCTAATGAATGTACCTTGATACCAATGTAGGCAAGGATTAACAACATAGAAATGCCTACAGTATTTATGTTTACATCCAGTAAGCTTCAACCAGAAAAGTTAAGAGTCGAAAATGAGAATAATCTTTTGGTTGATCATTTGGACAAAACGGATGATGTGGATAGTTGCACTAAACAACGATTGGCAAGTGTGGAACGTGAAGTAGTGGAGTTGAGACAGGCTGTTATAGCTTCTCAGTCTCAGCCAAAGGTAGAAAGTATACCATGCCATAATAATTCATCAGTAAAGGTTATGCTTCTGTTTGCTTTTCTGTGATAATCTCTAATGTATATGCAATTTTTTGTTACTTGTCTTGCCTTTTGTCTATAGGGTATAAGATGTGAATCGGCCAAGAGTGGTCTTCAATCGATTGTAGCCGAAAATCAGACTCCAGCCAATGTAATTGTCATACCTTTTTTTTATTGTTTTATTTGTGGCTTCACATCATATTTTATTTTTCATAACAAGTTTCTGTTATTGCAGATCTACAAAAGAAGATAGAAGCACCAAATGGCTTGATCCATGGAAAGAATGTGGAGGTTACATCAAAATATTATTGTGCTGTTCCCCAGAACGTTCCTCCCAGTAAGCCGGTATTCTCTCTTCTCTTACACTTCTTTTTTTTTTTTGCGAGCATCTTCTCTTACATTTCTATGTTGACATCTAGTGAAAATCATCAATTTGGTGAGAATTCAAAAAGTCTTTGGTTTCAACACTAACCCTTAATAATTCTAAGTCTAAACTCAATGTTATGATTTGCCTTGGGGACATCCTTCTTTGGTGTGTAAAAGATTACTTTTTGTTCAAAAATGAAAACTTTTAGGAGTGCAATACAATACTTTATAGGTTATATCCTCAACATCTCCATTTCTTTTTGCAAAGTCATAGCCATTTTGGTTCTGAAGACCAAAGCAACAGTTACCTTTTTACCAAAGTAATTGTTCCCTCTAGGTAAATCCTCCCCCTTTAATAGTGGAATTTGTCATCTCTTGATTAATGTGTAACAGAAAATGCAAGGGGTGATATTGCCACCATTTAATGCGTTTCCTGGTATGCCTAGGAAGGTTGTAAAAAAAAGTCCAACTCCACGCAGAGCGGTCAGCTTCCTCTCTTTTTTGTTATATTATTTCTTTTTGGCATATCTACATTTACTGAACTTGCATAATGCATGGTTTACTTCTGTATAGAAAGAAATGAACATTATGATGTTTTACGCAATTTTTTTTGCACGTGTTACTGTATACATGTAACTTAGTAGTAGTTGAAAAGGCTTGCATATTTCCTTCTGTTTGGGTGCCAAAGAGGTTTCCTTGTTCTCTATAGTAAGACCCAATACTACAGTTACCAAGGCTATTTCTTCAAAACAGTTCTCAGTTTACAATAGTAGGGGGCATGTGACTTGGAACCATTGTTTTAATGTGTTTGCGAGTGTGTTGCTGCAAAGAGATGCTCCAGTTTTGGCAATATGAGAAAATGAAGATGTCTGACACGCTTAAATGTTGCACGGCCAATTGGCCAAGTAATATCTTTGACTCCTTGTTCTAGTTTGTCTAGATTCTTTGAATGTCATAGAAGTAAAAAATTATATGAATGTTTTCTTTATAGATCTGTGATATTACCATTGCTAACTATTTTAGCTATTGTCCAGTTGGCAAGGCCTGTTCTAAAGAAACAGTTCCCAGTTCGCTAACCTTATGTACTGAATTTGGCTGATCTAGCTGATTAGTAAGTTGTCTGATAATATTTTCTTGGTTCTTAGTAATGCAAAGAGAAATTCAATGAGCTTGGGCTAGTCCTGATGTCCGATTGCATAAAATAAAAATTATCATGATCCTAAAATAAAGAGAAGTCGCAAGTTTGTGCAAAGATGACATCTCTCAATACAATCTGGCCATGCAACCTGCCACAGTCGCAGATTAGTCGGTTTAGGTTTCAGGGTCTTTTTTCTTTAGTAGTTCGGTTGCCGGTTTGGGTGGTTCATGGAGTGCGCTTCAGCCAGTTCCTTTTTCGGTTGGGAGTGGTTTGTGGTTTCCTGTCTTGTTTTGGAGTTTCTTTTGATCCCGGCTGAAGCGCTTCGCTTTCTTTTTCTTGAGTAGTGTCTGTACACCTTTTTGTTTTTCTTCGTCTAATAAAAATTACAGCAAAGCTCTTGCCGTCCTTTCAAAAAAAAAAATTGCCCTCACTAGCTAATGCAATCATGTACAATTAGTGGATTTTGTTGCACGAGATAATGCAGAATTAGTGCATGCCGATTACCATTCTGATGCCAACTTGAGATGGTTGTACGGGTCATTATGAATTATGATGCATCAAGAAAGATGCCCCAGTCTGGCATAGGAATTATATTAATCCAGTACGTAAGATACTAATGTGTTTTGTTAACTGCTAAAGAATGAATATGTTGGTGGAAAAACAAGTGTAAACTTGAATTGTTTGAATTAGTGAGCATTAGTATGCTAAGATTTGAGAGGAAACCGAGAAATGATAATAAACCTAGAGAGATAATTACTGAAAAATGTACCACCATAGCTCTATGCAGTAAGTAGCTAAGGCCAAAGTGTTACATGCTGCAATCTTTTTTGCTACGATCAGTTATTTAGAAGTTTACTTGTAGCCTGTGCTACCTATTTATCTAATCCTATTGTTTTAAAGCTGTATGATAAAACAAGTTTGGTATGACTGCCTAATTATATTTAGTCTCAATGCTTTTCCATCATGATTTTTTATGGCATGCTCATGATGACATGTAGTACTTAATATGAACAAGTCTGTTTTATGGCACCATCACTTACTCACATGTACATATTTAGTTTGATTCGTTGTTTTAATGAGCCTATATGATAGAAAATGTATTGCACACATGCTGTGAATATGTGTATAGTTGTAAATGACTTTATTGGTATTCGTTTTGATCTCTACATTGACTTTGTTTCCTTACTTGGGCACATTTTTTATTTAGAAAATCCCAAGTCAACGCATCCCTTCCTAATTTGTCAGATAAAAGTTTTTGATCGATTTTTATGCAACATGATGATATTTTTTATGCAGCATGATGATATCTAGTAGCTGCCAGCTCATGCGGTTTCCAATTCATTTGCGTGTCCACTAAATTCTGTCTAATTCATGAATATCTCTGCATTTCTGCACCTGTTGAAATGCTACATACCACTAGACTGAAGTTAGTGTTTTGCACTAATTGATGCACAAGATCTTTTACCATCAGGAAACTTTCATAGAAGTAGTTATGCAGTAGTATTTGATACATTATTAATTGCACACTTTGCAGTGGTTAATCTGAAACAATTCATCATATTCTGTCTCTTTGAACCCACCCTTCTCTATTTCCCCCCTTTTTATTTTCGTTAGTTTAGTTCAGTTCTTGGCGCTGTCATGACTTTGTGCCTCTTTGTTTGGAAGATTTAATGTTCCAAGTTCTGAAAACATAAAGCTGTGACATTGACTACTCGTAACTATGGTCATAATGATTCTAATGTCAATGAACTAGTGAAGCAATGTTCTGACACAAGTTGTTTGATGCAGACTTGCAGGGGGGCCATATGTTGAGTAGGTTCTAAAGGCGACAACGAGATTTCCCTCGTAATATAATGATACACAGTTCTCCTGTGTGTTTGATAAGAAAAATGTGACAGCGAGATTGCGCTTTGTTCTTCTGTGTTGATTCAGCCCAGCATCTATACTTGTTGCTGTGTATGTCTCGCCGCATCTCATTTTGGTCCAAGCTGCACATGATCCAGCAGTATGTATATATGGCCCGGATGGTTCCGGGTCTCATAAGTTTATATTTTGTTGCATATGTTTTGACTAGATGTAAATATAGTAGTGGGTTTATATTTTGGTGAATTGCCTGCAAAAAGGTTATCTAGATGTTGCAAATGTCGTGTCAAACTTATGACATTATTTAAGTGAGACCTATTACCTGTTCTGCCCTACAGATATTAGCAATGAGTGTCCTCTGATGCACTACTGTCACTATAAGATTGTTGAACTCTGATTGTAATCCTAGTTAAGCAATGAAGCTCCTTGTTTCAGAAAACAAGAACGTAGCATAAGCAACTGTCAGGTCGCATCTCATATGCTCGTAGAATTGTGGACTAGGACTAGGATTACTACATTCTGCTGTGTCATCCAGCTCAGTGAAACGTAAAGATATCAAGGCAAATATGGATCAATCAAAACCAATACAAGCAATCTTAGGAGCTGATCTAAACTGGATTTCTCAAATAAAGGTGCTAAGGGACTCAGGTTTCCCACAACCTTCAATCTTGGGACATCTCAATCGCTATGACCTTCATATTATTTTAAGGTTATATATAACATTAGAAACGAGCTTTTACCATTTAAAATAACAATTGAGCATATGAATCTATTTGCCACAGCCAACATTGAGATAATTCTTCAAACCGATTTAACAGAATTGCTTCCATAAATACCATCCAATCTCATTACATGACTAAAGATATTTTTAAATAAAAAACATGTACACGTATGCACATCACTACATTGGTAAGGCCATCTCTGTAGGGGGTTCATGGTAATTTTATGGACATTAAATAAGATGTCACGGCATAATATAGATTAAGAGAGGCGGAAAGTTTCATGGTATGAAATGAATTTCATGGGCATGAAACTTATCTACACTTTTTTCCACACACACAAGTCTAGAAACTGGAACATAAAACCCAATTGAGACTGAACTAAGTGCTGGCATCGTACATCCTCATATCATCATGTGCAATGGTCATACTATTGTTTTATTACATTCAAAAAACGTAGTAGTATATGGCAATTCATTTTGCTGTTATGACTTATAAATGAAGGGACTATGACGCCTAAAAGGGGTTGAATTAGGCAACTTAAAATCTATTTCTTAAACTATGACCTCTAATTTTCATCTAGTCAAAACATATGCAACAAGCAACCTATGTAGATGTGAAACTAAGATTTTGCTAGATGTGTTTCTATCTCTATCACAAAAGAGTTATTCAACCTAGGTTCTAATCCTATCACTAGCCTATCAAACTAAGCTAGAAATGTAAAGCACAAAACCACAGTACATAATATAATGCGGAAGGTAAAGAGTGGTTGAGATGCAAACTCCCGTCAATGATTCCGTTATTACCAAGGTATCGAGAAGCTCCTCGTTTCCCCTAGTCCTCGTTAAATCCCCTCAGAAGGAAGCTCTTGCAAGGGCCATGCTCTCGGTCGGGTAACAATGTGGACAACCCCTAGGCCTTCCCCACACGCAAGTGTTGGTCTCTCTCGGACCGCTCCTCGCCGTCTTCACTATCGAGCTTCCGGCCAAATCGCCGCGGACCTCGTTCCCTGCAGTACACGGTGGCGGCTACACTACAAACACGGTTGGTGTGATATCGCAAGATTACAAACCCCTCTGATATACAACAATGGTGCGCACAAGCACCGAGTGGTAAGACCCTATAGAGGTATGTAAAACTCACTAAACACTAGGTCTAAACCTAGAG